AGGGAGAGAGAGAGGGAGGGAAATAAATTAATATTTCAGTAAAATTGAAAAATTAAAAAAAACTAAAAAGAAATTAAAAAATTATAATAATAACACAAATAAAAAGACAATAAGAAATTAAAATTAAAAAAGATAAAATAATAAATAATAAAAAATAAAGATGAATAAAAAAATTAATGAAATAACAAAAACTACAAATAAATGAACAAGTAAAAATAAAGTAAAATAATAATAATAATAAAATTAAATTAAAAAAATTTTTTAAAGCTAGATTGGGATTGTAGTCCAAAATGTCAATCAATGGCTCATGCTCGCCCCCCAATGTTTACATTCACCTAGTTATTATTATTAATTTTTGTACTTGCAGTGGCTGATGTCAGTCCTTCACACTGATTAATAACATCAAGTAGAAAGTCAGCAGGATTGTCATGCTCCTCACAAAAATACCCTAAAAACCGAAAACAACATTAACATAATATTACGTATCTGAACATGTACATGTACAGTGTAGCCTATATATAATGGATACTTTGGTATAAGACAATTACTCTGTTATACAGAGGTGTCCTTTATGTGGAGGTTATTTTATATAGTAAGGAATGTACATGTAATAATGTAATTGGTACACTAGGTGCTGTCTGTTAAATGGAGGTGTACGCTCCATTAAGAGAGACTATATACTGTATCCTCTTACCAAGGTTAATAAAATATGGAAGTGTCTCCTTTATTGCTCCATGATAAACCATGTTCCCCTGGGAGAGAAGAGTGAGAGAGTCAAACTGTTTATAAATGGAATATCTCGGCTGGTGGATGGACATGACAATAATCCTCTCACTGTTCCTTGACAAACTAATGAAATAAATCAATAAATAAGTAAACGAGACACCTACGGTGCATGGCCTCGCCCCTATAGCTGCTATTGTGCATGCCCACACTTCAATAACTGTTTGATTATCAGCATGAAGAGAGTCTGCTCAATACTAGCTTCCTACAGTTGCACTTGCTCTTGAATACCTGCAGAAGTAGCAGCACTGCAGCACATACATGCAAGCAGCTCCAGCCCCTCCCATGCATGTAGATTGAAAGGTGTGGCATTCCATGACTGGAATGAGTGGCAGCAAGAAGACCATGTGAGAAAGAAGCTTCACTTTTTCTTTACTAATCAGCAATATATGATAAACTTGCTGACAAAAAAAGTTGCTGCCTTTGTATATTTGAGATAGTATAGGTACTTTAGTACCTTAGTCTCGCTAGCCAGACCATTCCCCAGCCTACAGTCATTGGGGTGGAC